ATTACATTTTTATTTCTGTATTAGAAAAAATATATTTGGTTTTTTTTTATCCGAAATATATAGTAAAATAAGCTAAAAATTATACACAGAAAAATGTTACTTATTTTACTTAAATAAATGAACAAAAATTTAAGAAAGTTGATATTTGTTACTCATATGATATTTTTTTAATCCAAATTAAACTCTGAATTGGTAATATTGATTGTTTAATGTTGTAACTGCTTTTTTTGTAATAAAGAATTGATGCATGTTCAAAAATTAAATTCCACAGATAATACCTATCTATTACTTTATTGGAATAAAAAAAAAATGCACTAGCCCTTGTTATATTGTGCCTCAATATAACTCTTTTTTTGTCTTCCAAATATAAAACCGGATTGTGTTGGAATTGCCAGTTTTCTCACCCAATAAGTGATCCAAAAGTTATTAAATTTTGATACAACAATTGTAGTAAATTTTAAAAAATGAATGACATCATCCAGGCTTTAATTTTGTTCTGATAGTTCACAGAGAGTTGTTTGATGTTTCTAAAGCATTTAGGGTTTTTCAACTTCCCAAATCACTAGCAGTTTTCTCTGACCCTGACATGTTGACATACATCCATAGTGTTAAGTGGTTTTTTGATATTTTACCACCAGTACATTTGTCTCCTTTAAATTTTAGTTTTATTTGGTGCCAATTGATAAAAAAAATTTTCCCATCACAATTAAAAATGTTATCAGGTGAATAGCCACTGCAAATTTCTGGTCAATCAATCTGGCATTGTTTCTCAATCTGTTGACTTTGCTTAACCACTTATTTTTCCAACTGTAATACCATGCCTCTTCTTTCACCAATCCAAATAAACAAACTCTTGATTTAAAAATGACAATGGAGTTGAATATGTTGCTAGCTCATAGTCACTGTATCTGTCTAAATCCAATCAACAATCAGTCTAATTAATAACTCTCACATTAATGTTAGTAATTGAGGCTGTAGGTACTGACAAACACTGTAACTTTATCATTATAGTAAAATGATAATCATTGAAAGTAGGGCCTTGAAATTTTTCCAAGTACAGTGATACTTCATACTTAAAACGACTTTAACTTTGAACTCTCAGAGATCAAATGCTAAATTTAATAAAAATTTGTCTCAGATTTTGAATGATGCTTCAGAGTTCAAACTGTGCATGCACCAAAAAAATGCACTTGAACTGTAAACGCAAGTCATCTCCCACTCTCACATTATTCTCGTATGTTTTCAGTGCTTGATTTTGCTCTGTTTTTGGTATGTTTGGTTATATATATTGTGTTTTTTTTTTATTAACATTTTTTGAATGTCCCATACATTGTTTATCCATTAGTTCAAAATTTCCCAAATGGAACTTTTTAAACCACATCTGCACATTTGAAGCTTAGGAGCATTTTTTCCTTACACATTACAAATCTCTTTTACTGTTTGTATGGCATTATATCCTTTCTGAAATTTGTAAAGCATAGTATGCCAGATATACTTTTTGTCTGAAGAATTTTGACTCGATTTTATTCAAACACACTGTGAAGTAAAAAATTTAAAACAAGCTTTTAAACAAAGAATACAATTTCTCATTAGCAATAATGTGTTAAATTTTATGACAGCTACAATTAAATGACACAACTATGTTAAGTAATGACAGCTGTTAAAACTACATACAAACTTTCTGTTTAGGCAAATGTAATCTTTACTTATTAACAATTGCATCCAAGAAGTGTGTAGAAGCAACAAAATCTAAAAGGAAGGTTGTAATATCAATAAATGAAATGAAAAAAGAACTCACAAAGTATGAAAGCAGTACACTTGTGGCAGATATGGAAACCATGTTTAAGATATTGAAGTCAACAGTGTGTGATGGATAAATGCAATTTTCGTTTTATTATACAGTTTTTACATATTTTATTTTTAGTTTTGTGTTTTAATTTATTATTAGGGCATTTAATTGTGTTATTTTTACCTTAAATTATATGTATTTGCTCTTTTAAGTTTATCGAAATGGATATTGTTTAGGATCTGGGAAAGTGAATTAATTCACTTTCCATTATTTCTTATGAGAAGAATTGCTTTAGAGTTTGAATAACTTCTTGGAATGAATTAAGTTTGAAGTACGAGGCACCACTGTATTCATGATTACTCCGTTATGATTTTGTCATTTTAGTCATAACATTAAGTGCTACTAACAAAGCAATAAATTACATAGTTTCGTTTTTAAGTTCATTATAAACAAATAATTTTGTGTATATTTGTAATGTAAATGAACCAGGACTAATATTTTAAGTTCACTATAACCAAAGTTCACTACAATTGAATTCACTGTAATCAGAGAGTACTGTAATTGTATAAAATTACATAAAGAGATTTTCAAAATTCTTTCTAAAAAATTAATTAATTTATTGTCATCAAATTTTTCATTAAGAAGTTATTAAATTTATTGTAGATTGTCAAGAGTTGCTAGATTATTACTTCATGAACTTGGGAGTGCTTTAATACAAAATCTATATTATAGAGGTAGTTGGTTTATGGTAAGCCAAAAAGGAATAGCTGGATTTTCTCCATTTGAAGAGGTAAATATATAAATGAAAGTTATAGTTAAATCATAAATAATTTAACAAATTTGTAAAAAAAACTTTTAAAATATGAACAAAATTATTTTGAAATTTATATCCTTTTTTTAGTTGCACTTAGTTGAAGCTGGAGGATGGTCTCTTCCTCATGATGGTAGATTTTGTGTTCCATTGAAATGTGAGTAATACATTTTATTTTATTTGTATAGTAATTAATTTTTAAACAAATATGCAGTTGAATCTTTTTAATTTAAATATCAGGAAATCTAAAAACTTTGAATTAATTATTTTTGAAATTTAAATAAGCTTTCTGCAAGATATAGTGTTGAACATTATTTCATATTCTTTGAAATTGCATTTTTTCTTTTCTTTCAATTCCTTGAATCCTTGAATCATAGTTAAACAACTCGGCTATCTAGAAGTAAATGTCATTAAAACAGTGAGACATTTCTAATAATTTTACTCATGTCTCAGGAGTTTAAAGAATACATTTATAATATTTTTTCACATTATCTTTTTTGAACATGTTTTACATAAATCATCCAAGTCTGTATAAAGGATGAAGGTTGATGAGTATCCAAAGTGTGAAAGGTAATAGTGAGGCTGTACCTTGCAGGTAATGTGTAACTTGATACTTGGAGGCTATGAGAAGTGGACAAGGAGTATTGCTTTATAAGAAGTGGATGTGTCTAAAGAAGTGAATACCTGCAAGAACATTAAGAATGAAAACTGTCAATGTTGATAGCATGACAGAAAGAGAAAGAGAAACTTCACACCTCATGAAAGTGTAGCTTGGACATACTCTTTCAGGAAAATAGATGGAGGGGAGACAAGGCAAGGAAATTAGGAAATGATTATAAGATTATACACAATGAAATGAACAAGTAAAGAAGAAATGGCATCAGTATTATCTTGTCAAAAGAAATTAACTGTGTTATTGAGGTATCCCACAGAGGAGATAGACTACTCAGAATGAAACTAGATTTAGAATGGAGATAAATATGATTAGTGCCTGTGCCCATAAGTTGAATGCTCAAATAAAGAAAAAGATGATTTTTGGAATGGGATGAAGAATGAGATAAATTATTAGTAAAAACAGTGTGATAGATTACTTGAATGGACACATTAACTGAAACATGGAAGTTTCAGTTAAGGTATTGAAATAATCTGTGGTGAATATTTTGAATCAGATAGGTAACACCATAAGGAAATGAATGATACTTTTTGCAGTAACAGTGGACCTAACCTTAGGAATTTCTTTATTTAGAAAAAAAACAGAGCACCCTCTTACATACAAAGTGGTCATCCTTGCTTATAGATTGACTTCAGCCTACACACAAGGAAACATTCCAAAGAAATTTAAAGGAAAAAGCTTTCTTTTTATGAAGAAACAAAGTTGCAGATTAAAGTAGCATGTATCTATTTGACAGTTGACAGTGAGAACTTACATTTGTCTTGAAAGATAGTGAATTGCTGAAGATTGATACTTTTGTAATTAAAAGGAAATTATAAGAAGATTAAATACAACAAATGATTTGTCTAACTGTTTAGATGAATTTAACCTTAACAGCTTGTCATTGTCAAGGAATATTGAACTCAATCTTACAAGATTAGAAATGTTTGGAATTTTTATCATTGTTTTTTATTGCTATACTCCTGGAAACTTGGATAAGCATCATCAATATAATTTGTCTTTTCTTCATTAAATACATTAATAACCACTATAGAATGTATAGTGCACAAAATTGTTGGCCCAGAAAGACTTTTTGTTGTTTATTTCTGATCGTTTTTTAGTCACTTGGTAAGCTAGAAATACTTAATATTTCTGATAATTTTGTTATAGTTTAACTTAATAACTTGTTAGTGACTATAATAGTTTGACACTAATTCTTGTTTATCTATCTATTTCTAAGTATGATAGCTTGACAGTAGATTTTGAAAGGCATGTTTGTGATTATGTGAATGATGCTGATTTCTTAACATAGGAGCAATGGTGGCCGTTTTGTTCAATGGCCTTTCCTTATATTAATTAATGTTCAATATATTTCACTTGAGAAAAATAATAAACAAAATACAAGTGCAGTTTGTTGTATTAAATTTTAAAAAAGTAAATGCTGCAGTATATCTCATTTGAACAAATAGATGTCTGACCTACAGCAAAAACTGTCTGTTCTGGTACTAAGTTTAGATGTTGCCTTGGTTCATTAATAAACTCATCATCATAACACAAAAAAATATTTATTGAAACAAAGTAATGTGGGCAAAATAGCTTCTTTATGATTTAGAAGAAGAAAACATATTTACATATATATATATATATACACCTTTATGTGTTACTTATATGCTAATATATAATATATTTATTTAAGTTATGTGTAAAATATTATTTGTTACATATAACTGTAACATATTTACGTTACAAAGTTTTTGAAAATATGTATACCATTATGCCAAACACATTGTTCTTTTTGACACAGAGTTCAAATTGCCATATCATAAATTCAGTACTCTCTTAGAAAGATCCATAAAGCTCAAAAAATTCAAAGAATTCACTGATTCGAAGTTTGCATGCTTCTCCTTCATAAAACTTGATGGCTCTTACAGTTGTTTCCATTTTAAAAACCGGCAATTTCCATCATGTCTGTCTAAAACATGCTATTACTAACATGTCTTTCTCTAAAAGCAGCCTCTAGAGTTGTCTCTTTTTCTCAAAACAGACATTCTCAGTATCACATCTCTGTAACAACTAACTAAACAAAAATAAATAAGTACAATAAAATTTGTTTGTTTTCACATTAATTAAAAGAATTATTGTAATAATTTATTAAAAAGTTTGATATTTCAAACCCATTCAAAGTCAAGATTCAAAGATTGGAACTCCAAGGAACTCCAAGACATGTGGGTTTAGAATTTGATCTGTAAAGACCTGAAGGATGTTGAACAATGTCTGAAAATGTTAGTCATATTGTGACTAAATTTGCTGAACTTTAAGATATGATTGTTTTATAACATTCCATCTATGTTTTTTATCATTTCCATTCAGTAATTGAATTATTAAGTATTTGCTATTTTTTTTTCAATTGATTGCTATTTTTTTTCAATTGATTGCTAACGTTCCAGTTCAAACTGAATTGTAGTGTCATTTCTGTAGAGTTTTAGATCATCCATGTAGAAATTATTATTATCACTATTATTAATATTATTTTATTTTCTTGTTTTTAGTGGAAGGACAACCAATTCATCCTGATCCATTACCTCGTGAAAATAAAGCAAGACAAGAATTCTGTAATATAAATGGAAATTTTCCTCATTTTTGTGATGGTATGTTAGAATTATTTATTATATGAAGACTATAATTGATATTTAATTGTTGATTAATATATCACAAGAAAACAGTTAACTGCACTTTTATTCACATAGTATATCCTTTTCATGTCCATATGTTCTATTCAGGTCCTTTTATTCATATACTCAATTACTACATTAATGCATATGTTAAGATTATTTCAACATTAAGGTTTTCATGACGTACTGCATTTAACAATTGTAGTTATGCTTATTGGTGAAATGATGGCAGTGTGTCTTATTCTAATTGATAAAAAGCACAATTATATATTTTACTATTGATGAAAATTAAAGTCAGTGACAAAACTGCCAAACTATATATTTTATTTATAATTTCTGTCCTATATTTATTGAATTTCATAATAATATAATAATTATGAAATGCTTTATGCTTATAAATAATTATATCTTAACATATAATGATTAATTTTCTAACAGTTGTATTGAATTTTAATATATAAATATTTAATATACATATACGTATTTATATATTTTTAACTCTGGAGTGTGAAAGGTTTTGTCATCTTTGACTGCCGAAAGATTTGGGCATTTCATGTTCTCTAGGTTCAAATTAGAATTGTTGGGCTCACCTGAGTTGTTTTCATCTGTTATTTCCACCAAGTTCTCTTCCAAAACCACCCTATCTCTTTGACATTCTCCCATCTTGCAGTATGAGCATTTCCAGTTTTTCTTAGATGTTTTGTTTAATTTTAAAAAGTTTGTACAAATTACACTGTAGCAATCAAAATGTGCTGATTTTAGACACTGTGAAGTTAGAATGTTACTTTCTAGTAGTTTGTAGTTGCATTTTCCATTTTCCACTTTCCACATGTACTTGATCTGTGAGTCGACATTCGCCAAAGCCAAACCACGCCACCAATTAAAATTTGTTTAATCATTTTTAAAATTTATATTTCTATGAGAAGTAATCAGAGTAAATTCTTTTTAAAACTTCTACAGTTCCTTTGATTACCTGACTAAAATTCATGAAACAAACTGAATTAAGTCTTTGTCTTTGTTGAAAAAGTGTTCTTTCATAATTCACTCAGGTAATGCAAGACATTGGTTAAACATGTCTCAGTTAATTGTGACTCTACTGTAGATGTGTTTGGTCTTTTGCTTCTGCAGAATCTGATATATCATAAATGGTATTTTGTTTTCTTAAATTTATTAAATTACAACAAACTCCAATTTTATGACTAAATATTCAACAGAATTGAATATTTTTTTATTGTTAATTATTCAATTTTAATTANCTGTCTGTTCTGGTACTAAGTTTAGATGTTGCCTTGGTTCATTAATAAACTCATCATCATAACACAAAAAAATATTTATTGAAACAAAGTAATGTGGGCAAAATAGCTTCTTTATGATTTAGAAGAAGAAAACATATTTACATATATATATATATATACACCTTTATGTGTTACTTATATGCTAATATATAATATATTTATTTAAGTTATGTGTAAAATATTATTTGTTACATATAACTGTAACATATTTACGTTACAAAGTTTTTGAAAATATGTATACCATTATGCCAAACACATTGTTCTTTTTGACACAGAGTTCAAATTGCCATATCATAAATTCAGTACTCTCTTAGAAAGATCCATAAAGCTCAAAAAATTCAAAGAATTCACTGATTCGAAGTTTGCATGCTTCTCCTTCATAAAACTTGATGGCTCTTACAGTTGTTTCCATTTTAAAAACCGGCAATTTCCATCATGTCTGTCTAAAACATGCTATTACTAACATGTCTTTCTCTAAAAGCAGCCTCTAGAGTTGTCTCTTTTTCTCAAAACAGACATTCTCAGTATCACATCTCTGTAACAACTAACTAAACAAAAATAAATAAGTACAATAAAATTTGTTTGTTTTCACATTAATTAAAAGAATTATTGTAATAATTTATTAAAAAGTTTGATATTTCAAACCCATTCAAAGTCAAGATTCAAAGATTGGAACTCCAAGGAACTCCAAGACATGTGGGTTTAGAATTTGATCTGTAAAGACCTGAAGGATGTTGAACAATGTCTGAAAATGTTAGTCATATTGTGACTAAATTTGCTGAACTTTAAGATATGATTGTTTTATAACATTCCATCTATGTTTTTTATCATTTCCATTCAGTAATTGAATTATTAAGTATTTGCTATTTTTTTTTCAATTGATTGCTATTTTTTTTCAATTGATTGCTAACGTTCCAGTTCAAACTGAATTGTAGTGTCATTTCTGTAGAGTTTTAGATCATCCATGTAGAAATTATTATTATCACTATTATTAATATTATTTTATTTTCTTGTTTTTAGTGGAAGGACAACCAATTCATCCTGATCCATTACCTCGTGAAAATAAAGCAAGACAAGAATTCTGTAATATAAATGGAAATTTTCCTCATTTTTGTGATGGTATGTTAGAATTATTTATTATATGAAGACTATAATTGATATTTAATTGTTGATTAATATATCACAAGAAAACAGTTAACTGCACTTTTATTCACATAGTATATCCTTTTCATGTCCATATGTTCTATTCAGGTCCTTTTATTCATATACTCAATTACTACATTAATGCATATGTTAAGATTATTTCAACATTAAGGTTTTCATGACGTACTGCATTTAACAATTGTAGTTATGCTTATTGGTGAAATGATGGCAGTGTGTCTTATTCTAATTGATAAAAAGCACAATTATATATTTTACTATTGATGAAAATTAAAGTCAGTGACAAAACTGCCAAACTATATATTTTATTTATAATTTCTTAGGTTTTTATATATGTAAATAGCAAAATATTTTTACTATTAATAAAATAAGTGCTATATAAATTTGACAATGATGATATATTGCTTTCTGCTAGATAGTGTCATATATGTTTTTGATTGCCTCAAAAACATCTTGTTCACTGTATTATGCATTCATATTAATTTTACTTAAATGAGGGCATTTTCTTTTTACAAAGTATCATCATCATCTGAGCTTTTTTGTTGATTTTGATCAGAAATATCAACAAGGTCTTCATTTTTTTATTTTTATCATGAAAAACTTTTATGGATGATAAAATAAAAATGAAAATATGTTATTAATTAAAAATTTGTTCTGACAGGTTGCATTTGATCAGCTGAGTATGGAACAATTTTTTCCCAGAATGTGCTCGAATACCAAGTTGTTCAAATTGGAAACAGTTTAAGTACTAAGATACTGCTGTATTTGGTTCATCATTTTTACAAATGATTGCTTACCTACAATTAAAAAAAAGGTTTAATAACACTTACCTAAAAATGTTTAAATACAATACAATAGAATACTAAATACAAAGATTAATCTATGAAAAGAAAACACAATGACAGTCTTAAGGGCTAAAGTCTGAAAGCAACAAGAATGACAAGAAGAATAATAGGAAAGCTAGGACAAGGAAGAAAAAAATTGCACTATCAGTTTTCATTAAAGTAAACCTGACGAAAGGCACAAAACAAATTGAAAATTTCAATATTTTAAAATCCATGGGCAAATTTGAGACAACATGCAATCTTACTTGAAGAAAAAAATATCAAATAATGGCATTTGTACTTAAAATTTGTGAAATTTTGTACAGAGGATTTTTTTCAAATTCTCAAACTGTGTTAGTGAAACCAGAAACCATGCTGTATGAGGGATATTTCCCTCATACAACACAATTGTTTCATTATTGTTTAGTTTTTATTAAATTGATTTTAATTTAATTATTTTTAAGTAATTATAAATGTGTGAAGTCTGTGTCTTTTGATATTTGTTGCTGAATGTAAGTGTTTATACTCAAAAAATTCTAACACTAAGTGGCTTATGCTTACTACTAAAGTTTTGAGCTTGTTTATGAATAGCAATGACATAGTGTCATATGCATAACTAGGGATAAGAGGATGGTGAAGGAAATGATGAAATTCAATTGGAAAGAGTCACTCAACACAGTTAATTAACTACTCTTCAACATTTATTAGACAGCACAAAAATCTTACAGTACAGTACTTATCTAAGTAAGATCATAGGGTTCATGTTTTTGTTTGTTTTGATTGTGGAGAGAGAGAGAATTTATAGTTTACAATACCTTTGAATCCTGATAAATATTTCCCATGTTGGAAAGCACAAGCAAACATTTCCTGATAACATAAAAGAGTTCTTGATCTGGTAAAGCTTTGAATTTGGAAGATATTTTTTGCATTGTTACCATCTGAACAGAAATGCAGATGAAGCACACAAACACAAATCCAAATGGATAGTTCCAAACACTGATCTTAATGGCTTGAAGAACAGGTGATGACTGACCAAAATTGACCATCTCTCTTTGTATTCAAAGGTACAATTTCTCAGAGGTGACTAATCGTCAAGGGAAAGATGTCATAAGATGTCACGACCAACTTTGAGAAAGTGTCAGGTCAGAAAGTTGACATATCCTGGCTTTAATGAGATCATTGTCAGGTTCTTTTTCTTTGTTTTGTTTTATTCTCACAAATGAATAGTATAAATGGGTCCTGTTAATTTGATTATTAAATTATTAAATTTGAAATACTTCAATAATTTAGTTGTCTGTTATAAAAAGAAAAACTAAATTAGCAGATCAACAGTTAGACAATATGCATATAAATCCTGCTATAAGTAGAGAAGCTGCTTAGAGAATGAAATAGTGTGAATATTATTAAATCATATTTTTTATTTATTTTCTTTCAAATTACTTAACAACAAAATTGTAAATTTATCGATTCAGTAATATCAGTATTAAGTATAAAATCTTCGTTTGATTGTGTTTACATGGGCGATCTGCGAAGGGGGATGCCACCAGGGAGGTCTTTTATGGGAAACTGGTTCTTGGTTTAGGTGTCACACACGAACCCTCACCAATCACCAATTTGAAAAACAAGTTTCTGTTACTTTTATTTTTATCTTAATTTTTTATTTAATTTGAGCCATAAATAAAGTTTACCTTTTCAAAAAATCCAAGAACTTTACAAGACATT